AAAGCCAGTATTTGGGGTCAAAGCCTCGTTGGGAGTGAGAAGACTTTGTTTTTCTCTCTCCCTGTGCTTACCATCCCTGTCCAGCAGAGTTCTGTGGCCCCCATCAGGCCACAGAACCCATAACCTAGAAGCAGATCTTACTGTGATATTTAGGGTTCCTTCCCATAGACACTGCAGCCTCCACTGGGGAGCCAGTGGGAAGCTTGTTTCTGCATTCGATTGTGAAAAAAGAGACAACAGGGCCCAAGTGGAGTTACTTGTGCCAAGCCCATGTCACCAACGGGGACTTAATATTTAACCTAATTGCAGTTTCACTGGAATTTCCCAGTCAGTCCCAGGGAGGTAATCTGTCCTAGAGGAAGGTAACCTTGCCACAGCCTGCCCTTTGCAAGTCAACCCCCTTGTCCTGCCCCTTCTGCCTATACATCTTTTACTCCATACTACTCTTTGTCAAATGTTTTCTTTATTGAAACGTTCTCTTTTGTAGCCCTTAACTACCTGGGCATGGCCTGCACCAGTGTTATCAGAGAGAGGCCACAGTCACTGGCTGCCGTTCACTGGCTGCCCACAGAAAGAGTGGTCCCCAGGATCTCTGTGGACCAGGGTCTGAAGATGCCACCTCAGTCTGGGCCTGTGTATTCTGAACGGTCCAATTCATTGTAACCCTCAGACCCTTTCCAATTCCGGGTTCCCTGGCGATGTCACAACAACTCCCCCCTCTCCCCAGGCCAGGGGACAATCTTGGGGACCGCTTGATACTACTTCCTCACTGGCGAGCCTCAGGGATAGGACCTTGATTTGGCTGGGATGGAAATTGGGTGCATGGTGGGGGCGGATGGTGCCAGATGAACTTGAACTAGGATCCATGGAAGAACACTGCACTTTGCCCTCTTTCCAGCCCAAAGCTGAAAGCCCCACCCTCTTTCTAGCTGCTAGAAGGGATCCTGAATCATTGAAAGAAGCCAGTAAGATCTAACAGACCTAACATCGTGCCTGCCAAAGCAGCCTCATGGGGGCGCAAGAGAGGGCGCCTGCACTGGCGGGCTCAGGCCCAGGCGGGCTGCTGGGATGTGCAAAGTCTGACCTACAAAAACAGCCTGACTTCACCGCGGCCTCTCTGCTAATGCAGCTTTTACATAAACACCGACGGCCATGAAGGAAGGTGTTACTATAAGCTGCATAAATCGGTATAAAGTGGAGGTTTATGGTGGGCCCAGGAACCTGTCCACCATGGCTATGTCTCTGCCTTGAAAACCAGCTGCGATGGGGAAGCTGATAACATTTACTAAGCTCATTCTTTGCATCAGGCAGTAGTCTAGAAGCACATGCTGTGCATTCTCTTGCTTAATCCTGGCAATAACCCTCAGAGGTAGCTACTATGTTTTTTTCCATTTTTCAGGTTTCCATTTTTTCAGAAACAGGCCTAGAGAGGTGAAGCCATTTGTCCAAGGTCATACAGTGACCATGCAGAGGGGGCTGGGACTTCACCCCTAGGGATCTGGAGCTGAGGCTCGGATCCCTCACCACCACCCTTACTGAGATTTGGTTCAATAGTACCATGAACTCAGCTCTGGGAGGGGTAGGGTCAGATTCTAAATTCTCCACGGCAATGCCCCGCGAAGCCTAATGCGAGGTGGCCTTCACATAAAAATGTATTGAGGGAATAAATGAATATTACATACAATCTGAATATGACTCACTAGTGGCTGATCACACTTCTATGCTTTTTTCCCCCCATATAAAAAATTATATATAATTTACATACAGTGAAAATCACTCTTTTTATGGATGGTTCTGGTTTTGACGTAGTCAATTGTGTAACCATCACCATATAGAATGTCTTCATCCTGCTCCCAAATTTCCTGATGCTCCTGAGTAGTGAACCCTATGCAGCTACACACACCCAGCCCAGCAGCCCTGCTCCCAGTCCCTGGCAATGACTGATCTGCTTTCTGTCCTATAGTTTTGCTTTTGTAAGAATGTCACCGGAAGGGAACCATGTGGTCTGGAGGCTTCTGAGTGTGGTTTCTTTCACTTAATATCATATAGTTGTTGTTCAGTCATGTTCAACATGAGGTTCAGTCATGTTGTCAAATATAACCCTCATTATTCACTTTTTATTCCAGTGTAGTATTCCATTGTTTGGATGGACCAGTTTGTTCATTGATTGCCCAGTTTAGGGTCTTTCCAAGCTGGGCTGCTCCAAATAAAACTGTGATAAACATTCCTGTACAAGTAACTTTTCATTTCTCCAGAGTAAGTACCAGGAGAGGGGTCTCAAAGTTTTAAAGTAAATATAGCTAGTTTTGTAAGGAACTGCTCAACTCTTTTCCAAGTGACTGTACTATTTTATATTTTCGATAGCAGTGTACAAGAGTGCCAGTCGTGCTAAATCCTCATTACAACTTGATATTGTCAAATTTTGGCCATTTTCATAGGTATGTGGAAATACCTCATTCTGATTTTAATTTGCATTTTCCTGATGACCAATGAATGATGTTGAATATCTTTTCACATGCCTAGTTGTGATCTATATGTCTTCTTTGATAAAATGCCTGTTCAGGGCCTCCCCTGGTGGCGTAGGCAGTTGAGCGCAGCGCGGTGAAGCTGTCCGCAGCCTCTGCAGTGCCAGTTCCACCCCGGCCAGCTGGCGAGGGTCCCACATGGCGCGGCAGACCTCTCTTGCCTCCCCCGCTGCTCCCCTCAGCAGTGTATTTCAGTCAGTCTGCCTGTTCTGTTCCCCGCTCTGTCTCTGGTGAGTCCTCTCACCCTCCTGCGCATCTGGCCCGTGCCCCGGTTCTTGTATAAATACGTAAAATCTTTAAAAAAAAAAAAGTCCAAATTTTTTGTCCACTTTTTAAAAGCTGGGCTGTTTGTTTTTTCTTTTTCTTTTTTTTTTTTTTTTCATTTTTAAAGATTTATTTATTTATTTATACAAGCACTGGGTACAGTCAGAAGCACGGGAGGGTGAGAGAATTCACCAGAGCCAGAGTAGGGAACAGAACAGGCAGACCGACGAAATACACTGCTGAGGGAGCAGTGGGCGAGACAGGAGAGGTCTGTGCAGCAGGAGAGGTCTGCACGCCAGGTGGGACCCTCTGGCTGGGCGGGGGATCGAAAACGGTGCTGCAGAGGCTGCGCTGGACAGCTTCACAATCCAGCACTCAACTGCTGTGCCACCAGGGGAGGCCCTGGGCTGTTTGTTTTTTCATCGACATTTTAGACTTTTTTATTTGACACAAATTCTTTTTTTTAAAGATTTATTTATTTATGCATACAAGAACTGGGGTACAGACCAGAGTTGTGGGGGGTGAGAGGATTCACCAGAGACAGAGTGGGGAGCAGAACAGGCAGATCTACTGAAATGCACTGCTGAGGGGAGCAGTGGGGAGACAGGAGTGATCTGCTATGCCATGTGAGTCAGCGCCCTGGCTGGGGATCGAACTCCTGCGGATAGCTTCATAGTGCTGAGACATAACCCCTTGCACCACCAGGGAGACCCTGACACAAATTCTTTATCAGATACGTGCTTTGCAAATATTTTCTCCCGACAGTGGTATACATTTTCACTCATTCCTTTAACAGCATCTTTCAGTGAGCCAATTTATTGCTGCCGTCCATTTTCTCAATTACTTCCTTTCACGAATCCTATAGTTGGAGTTGAACCTCAAAACTCTTTGCCTGACCCCAAATCACGAGAATTTCTCTTTGTTTTCTTCCAAAAGCTTTAGATCCTCATAAGGCTGCTGTATTGAATGGAGTGATGAGAGTAAAGCTCTTAGCTCCAGGCCTGGTGCAGAGTGAACAGGGAATAATCCCCTGCAGGGACTCTGGCTGTGCTGAGTGTGTGAGAGGTGCCTCCATGCCCAGCCTGGGCCTGGGGGGCGCGGAGGCGTGGGGCGGCCTGGGGAGAGGGCTGGGGGCCACAGGTCAGCAGAAGAGCCAGACCTGGAAGGGGGTTCTCCCCACTGAGCTGGGCACCCCTGCATCAGCCTCAGCTCCCATGAAACCTGGAGCGTAGACCGAGCTGTATGCGGCCTGGGATCCATTTATCGGGCACCTGCTGCGTGTGAGGCCCTGGGACACGGCAGAGAGTAAACAGACCAGGCTCGCGGACTCGCCAGCCAGAGGAGGGCGATGGGCAAATGGCATAATTACGGCAGGAACCGTGCAGGTCTCCGCGGGGCCGGCGAGGCGGTCTCCGAGGAACCGCTGCGCCTCGCGGCAGCCTCGCCTCAGTGTGGGTGTCACGGCCCCGGGCCGTGGGGAGCAGGGGCTCGAGGACCCGCAGACGTCCCCGCGGGGGGAAAGGCAGGGGGAAGGGGGTGCTGCGCGAGGCTGGGCTCTGGGGAGGCTGCTGGTTCGCGGTTCGTTCCTCTGTTCGGGAAACGCGCGCGGGGCGCCCGCGTGTGCCGGGTCGGGACAGACAAGGCCCCGCGGGGGGCGCAGACGGGCCGGGAGGGCGAGCGGTCGAGACGGTTCAGCCCGAGCCGGGGCTCGAGGGGCTGCGAGCGGGCAGGGCGCCCCGGGGCCCGGGGCCGCGTCGTGGATCTGGGGCCCGCACCCCCGGGCTGCCGCGCGCGCTCTCGCGGGTGCTCTTCGCCAGGAGGTCGCCACGCGCGCCCCGCCGACCAGGCGCGCCCCAGGCCCCAGGCGCGCCCCAAGCCCCGCCAACCAGGCGCGCCCCAAACCCCCAAGCCCCGCCAACCAGGCGCGCCCCAAACCCCCAAGCCCCGCCAACCAGGCGCGCCCCAAACCCCCAAGCCCCGCCAACCAGGCGCGCCCCAAACCCCCGCGCCCCGCCAACCAGGCGCGCCCCAAGCTCCGCGCCCCGCCAAGCAGGCGCGCCCCCCGCCCGCGCCCCGCCCGCGCCCCGCCGACCAGGCGCGCCCTTCGCCCGCCGCGCACGGCGCCCCCTGGCGGCGCCCTCGGCCGCGCGGGCGGGAGGGGGCGGGGGCGCCGCGCACGCGCAGGGGCCGGCGGCGCGCGCCGAGCGGGGGGCACCGCGCGGGTGCAGCCACGATGGAAGGGGGTGCGTACGGAGCGGGCAAAGCCGGGGGCGCCTTCGACCCCCACACCCTGGTCCGGCAGCCGCACACCATCCTGCGCTTCGTGTCGTGGGTAAGGACGGCGGGGCGGGGCGGCCGGGGTGGGGGGGCCGGGGGCGCGGGCCGGGACGCTGCGCCCGAACCGCCCGGCCCGGGGGTCTCGGCAGGGGCGCGGCAGCCCCCGGGGAGCGCCCTGCGGGGTCCGGCGCCTGCTGCTCCTCCTTCCCGGCCCGGGGGCGCTGCCGGCGCGGGCGAGGGGCCCCGGCTTCAGCTCCCGCTCCCGGGGCCCTTGCTTACCAGGGCTCCCCACTCGGGTGCCCCCCGACCCCCATTTCTGTGACCTCCGGCCGCGGCTCTGCAGCTCGCGGCTCAGGTTGCGCGCGGCCGCCCGGGCGGGCCGGCGCGCGCGGGGACTGAGCCGGGTTCAGGTGGTCTTTTTCGGGGTGCATCGGGGCGGGACCTTCCCGCGGGGGTGCCCGCGGCGCCTGCCCTGGCGTTGGAGACGGAGGGCAGGGCCGGTGCCGGTGCTCGGCCCGCACCGCGGGACCAGGCGGGAGCCGGTACCCGGCGCCCCCAGCTGCCTCCGCCGCGTGACCTTGGGCTGGAACCACCCGGGACGTGCTCGCGGGCGCCGGGCGTAAATTCCAGGTGGGGAGCGACGCCTCCTCCCTGATGCCTCAGTTTCTCGATTTATGGGAGATGGGAGGAGCCTCCTGAGAATCCCTGAGAACCTCCCTCCCCCACCCTCCCCCTGGGCGCCGGGGGTGGGGGGAGGGAGGACTTGAGGGAAAGACCCCTCCCTGCAGTCGGGGCAGGGAGGTGCATTGTGCTTGGGGGGACAGAATCCTGCAGAGGGCCGAATGGGGGGGTGGGGGGATAGAGCAGAAGCAGTGAGCATAGAAGGAGGGATCCAGATGGCCTGGGCAGCACCCCAGGGATCCACGGTCTGCTTCTGTTTGGGGAGGGAGTACTTGGGGTTCCCTAGGATTGGCTGTCCATTTCGCAGACACCCACAGCAGAAGGGCCTGGATTGAGGGTGCAGGCCAGGGGCGCTGTTAGAGACTCTATGGGGTATGCCTCAGACACCTGTGCCTGGGGCGCTGGAGACCCCACCTTGCCTGAGTTTTCAGGGTTATTAATAGGTGGGAGCTAGGGTGTTTATCACTGGCGTGTTGGAGAAAATGGGGCTACCTATTTTTGGTCTGAAAACATTTTAAGACCTGCTGGCGTCCACAGTTAAACCCCTTCTTAAATGCCCACCAGATGGGAAGCTCTTTGAGGGCAGGGAGCCCCCTTTGTTAGTCTTTGGGACCCCCCTTGGCCCATCCATGAGGGTTTGTGGTCTTGAACTTATTTATCTGTGCTGTCGCTGGCATCCCAGAGACCCAGCAGGCCCTTGGAGAGGTGGAACCCTGGGGGTCACTGCCTGCTCAGGCGCGCTGGCCGGGTCACTGCTCTCCCTGGCCTGGGAAGGTGAAGTCACCGGCTGCGTGAAGGGGCATGGACGGTTTGTCTGCTGAGGTCACTTCTGCCCGTGATGGCTTCATTTAGCAAAGCTTCACTGAGTCTGCTGGGCCCCAGGGAAGGCTGCATGACTCAGACACAGCCCTTCGTGCTCAGGGAGCCTCATTCCCTCCGGGGAGTGAGCCGGTGCCCCCCGGACGCCGCCCTGAGAGCCAAGAGTAGGGTCTCCCTGCCTGGGCATCACAGTGGTTTCACGAAGAAGAAGGTCCTCTGGAACCTGGGAGGATGAGAAGGGTCTCTGTGTATGCATTTTGAGGGTGCAGGGAGCACATCCCAGGCAGGAGGAATGAGCATCCTCTGTGTACTGAGGTGCGTGCGCACCCAGGACGTTCCCCCAAAGGCCTGTTTCACTTGGGGAAACAGACTCAGAGGCCAAGTGACTGGCCCAAGGTTACCGAGCATGTGTGTGGCAGACGGAGGATTGAACCCACAGCACATGCTCCCCCGGCGCAGGAGGAGTTCTGAGTCCTGGAGTTTCTGGATTGGGAAGGCTCAGGGTCATCTGTGCCAACCCTCCCCACCTCCAGTGCCAGACACCCCCACCCCGCCCTACTCACTGCATCCGTGTGGACAGAGGCCACAGACTGGGGCCGATGGACACCTTTTAAAACACACACAGGATTTCTCTTTGTGGGCCTCCCCCCACCCCCCCGTCATAAAAGTACCTGCTCATTATTAGAAAACATACAGAGAACACCCAGAACTTGTGATGGTTGTGCCACAACAGAAACCCGCTTGACACCACTGAACGATACCCTTAGAAATGGTTGTGATGGCAAATTGTGTGTTACGTGTCGTTTACCACTTGAAGAAAATTGGGGAGAAAAGCACACCGTGGGGGGACCTATCGCCTAAGGAGGGGCGCCGTCTCCTGCAGTCTTTTCCAAAAGCAAGAGGGGAGGCCTGGGGATGCGCGGGGGGTGGGGGGTGTGCGGTTGGCACCTGCCCTGAGCCCCCGAGCCCCTGCCGCAGCGGCTGGCCCTGGTCACACGGGGCTTCTGGAGCTGTCACATGCGCGCAGCCTGAGTTCCAGGCAAGGGGGCGATTCGTCCTGGTTTACTGGAATTTTCCGGACTTCAGCCCTCAGAGTCCCAGGTCTTAGCCAGACAAACCAAATTGGCTGGCCACTCCCTCCAGGCCCGGCTCCTTTCGGCAGCCCGGAGGGGGACCCTAGCTGTGACTTTGTGAAAGCGGCAGAAGAAGGATCTTCTGTTATGTTTCTGAAAGAGCCTGCCCGAGCCCCGCGCGCCTCGCCAAACCCGGACCCACCCGCCCGACGCCGGCCGGGCCAGGGGCAGAAGCAGGAGCGGGGCCTCCTGGTCTCTTCACTGAGGCTCTGTCTGTGCCCTTTGCCACCCGGGCCCCGGGCCCCCACAGCAGGAATGCGGACCGGCAGGGTGATGACTGGGACGGGGTCCAGGGCGAGGCCAGAGCCACCGTCCTCACTGGACTGGGGTTGGATGGGGTTGAGCTGACGGGGGCCTAGGAGATGCTGCTGCTCCGGCTCCCCCAGGCACCAGCTGGAACCATCTCTGTGCCTCAGTCTCCCCATTTGAATAAGGATGCTGGGCTAGGATGGGCGCTGCTGGCCGCATGAGGCCTTGTTCTGTGAAGAACTGGGGACCCAGCAGGGGGTCCTTCCAAACCCAAGGCCTCCTTTTTTTTTTTTTTTTTTGTTTTAATAGAGGCATGTTTTTATTTATTTATTTGATTGTTTGTTTGTTTTGTTTATACAAGCACTGGGTACAGTCAGAAGCGCGGGAGGGTGAGAGAATTCACCAGAGCCAGAGTGGGGAGCAGAGCAGGCAGAAGGACCGAAGTACACTGCTGAGGGGAGCAGCGGGCGGCAGGAGAGGTCTGCGCGCCATGTGGGACCCTCCTGCGGTGGCCGGGGAGCAGCCGGGGATGGAACCGGCGCTGCAGAGGCCGCGGGCAGCTTCGCAACCCAGCGCTCAACAGCTGCGCCACCGGGGAGGCCCCCAAGGCCCCCTTGAGTTTGGTGTTTACCCTCTTACTTTTAGAGCTTTGGAATCAGCTGTTGGGTGAGAATATTGGTGCCAGTAGATGAGGGAGTTTTCTTGTTGTTTTTTTAAGATTTATTTATTTATGCATACAAGAGCTGGGGTACAGGCCAGAGGTGTGGTGGTGAGAGGACTCACCAGAGACAGAGCAGCGAACAGAACAAGCGGATGGACTGAAGTACACTGCTGAGGGGAGCAGCGGGCACCACAGGGGAGGTCTGCTGCGCCATGTGGGTTGCTCCCTGGCTGGCCGGGAATTGAACTCGTGCAGCAGAGGCTGCAGATTGCTTCATAGGTTGCATCTTAACTCCTGAGCCACCAGGTTGGCCCCGAGGTTTGTTTTTTTTCAAATTAATTCCCGGTTTTAGCAAAATAAAGCCAAAAAAATGCAATTTCCCCATTTTTCCTTGAACTCTGAAGGCCTTGGTTCTAACACCAGGACTCTGGAAGGGGACAGCGAAGTCCCTCCAGGTGACAGGAGCAAGGCTCAGAGGCGCTGCCTCTCCTGCTGGCTCCAGGCACGGACCTGCAGTTGGAACCGGGGCCAGTATTCAGCATCTTCCGCTGCCCTCCTGCCCGGCTGGCGGTGGCACCAGGGATAACTTTACACCCTAATTTTTATCGGCTCTCTTCACTCACCCCAAATGCACATTGAATCTAAAGCTGAGTTTGCTTGGCCAGTGCAGCAGCTTCAAGATGAGACCCCTTGTCTCACGCCAGCCAGGCTGGCCCATCTGGAGCCAGCTGCTTCGGATGAAAGGGGTCCGTGAAGACTGGCCTCTGGCCATTCATTGCCCAGATGCATGTCCCCGCTCAGCGCCAGCCCGTGTGCCCCACGGAGGCTCTGAGCGCCGTGGGGAGATCAGAACCAAGTCCACAAGCATCCCCAGAAGGTTTGGGACACTACGAGAAGGAAGTCCAGGGGGGAGCAGCTACCTCTGCCAGGGCGCCGTGATGGAGGGCTTCCAGGGGGAGGTGAGTCCTGAGCTGGTTCTGAAAGAGAAGGGGACAAGGGGTATTCCAGGGCAAGGAGCAGCATGTACAAATACCTGGAGCCATGAAGTGTGAGTTCTCGGGAGCCAGAGTGAGGGAGAGTGAGGATCAGGAGGCTGGAGGGGTGGGCAGGGCTAGGGGGCGACCCCGGAGAGGCCTTGATGACAGATCCACAAGCTGAACTTCATCTGCGGCCGTGGGCGCCCCAGAGGGGTTTTCGGCGGGGAAGGCGTGTTTGAGACGCTCTCTGGCCGCTGTGTGGACGTGGGCTTGCTGAGGTCTCTGCTGCAGTGTCCTGCTGGGACGGTGCCCCTGCGCCAGGCACGACCTGCCGCTTCTCCGGGAGCTGGGTCCTGGCGGAAGCCGATGCTCCTTTGACATCTCAAGGCCGGAGAGTCTTCCTTGCCTCTTCTGCCCCTGACTGACCCTGGCGGGTCTGGGATGGGACCAGCCCACGAGCTGATCACATGTTGACTGTAGGTGTCTGCCTGTGTCTTGGGGGTTTCCCTGAAACCAGGGGGAGCTGGGGGAGCCT